AAACATTTCACACAAAGTCTAGCAAAATATGTTGCTCTAGCATGATGCAGAGACTGAAAGCATACACAGGTTCAGACGGGACTAAGCTTCCTGAGCCTTCCCTGATGGCTACTGAGAAACAAGAGAACTCAAACAGCCCAGTTTGCTAGGGGGATCAATGTGGCAGGAATACCACAACAGCTGCATTTGTTTGGAGGAACATACAAAACTGCGCTTGATTTGTGGAAGTTACAGCCTACTGATTTCTGTTTGGTTTTATTTCTCCTTCAGCCTAAAAAGCCCTAAGATTTACCTGTTATCCAAGAAGGAATCTGACCACAATGCCCGACACAGACCTCCACTAACCTAAGAGAAGGCACCTGCTAACAGCGCCTTTTTACCCCTGCACAACAGCCCAGTGCTATGCCAGCATCTTTTACAGTCTGGCATTTGCAGTCAGGGGAGAAAGCTCGTTGTTAAGATCTATCTTTTCTTTTCCTTGCAATACAAAGAATTAAGCAAGTAACAAGCCCATCGTGATAGGGGTACCAACTCTACTACTAGAATTACCGTTTGCTATCCTACCAAGTAACTGTGAAGTGGGAGCAACTACTGGAGATAATATGCATTATCAAGTGATACCGAAACCAAATCACTGGAAATATTTATGCTCCTGAGATGCTCTGGTGGTTCAGTTGTTCGTGGAATATTTGGTACTACCCATCCTTCTTCTCAACCAAATTGGTAAACACCAACACAAACAGACAACCTGTTCTTCACAGATCAGCTTTTACAAGTTATCAGCCAGAGGGGATTTAAGACAAAGACAGTGGACCACTAAACGCAGGGGAGTCACGCCAGATCTCAACTGTTCTCCTTCCTCATGAACACCCAGAAGTTGGAAAATAAATCCGAACTGGGAGAAGCGATTGTGCAGCGCACGTACCTGGCCGACCACCAGGAAGCGAACTATGCAAGATGCCAAATTCCCTCTCCTCTTTTCAGCCAAACTAAGTTTGACGAGTGAAGTTTTCGCGCCCCGGCGAGAACTCACGGACTTGGGGCCCCACGGGCTGCTCGGCTGCATGGACCCGCAGCGGCAGGACTTCACCCCCCCTCCCGCCCCGTCGCCCC